AACATTGAGTTCTGAATGAACTGAGGGAAGTAAATTAAAAATTTTTTCAGAAAATTTTTCCTCTGGAGGGGGAACATACATCTGAATGAACTGAGGGAAGTTAATTAAAAGTTTCCCCCTCCTGGTTGTAATCTGTAAATAGAGCCTTTCCATCAAAATAAAATAAATTAAATCAAATTTTAAAATAAAATAAAATAAAATTGAAAATAAATTAAAAATAAAATAAAATTGAAAATAAATTAAAAATAAAATAAAATTGAAAATAAAATAAAATTGAAAATAAAATCCTGCCTTTTGTGGAAGCTTTGAGAAGGTTCCTGTGTAAGTCAGCTGCAGTTCTCCACCGAGGACTTCTGAGCTGCACAAAACCAACTGCTTTAGGCAGAGTTTTAATTTATTTTAAATCTCAAGTCAGGGTTTTAATTTCTTTTAAAATCTCAACTTTCACTGGCACACTCAGTGCATCCCAGGGCAGGGCAGTTCTGTGTGGACATTTTCATGGCAGGCAGGATTATTTTAGAATTATTTCTGTCCTCTTCAGATGTGCAGAAGCAGAGTCACTCCTCACAAACCATCCCACAGATGTGAGTCACATCTGGCCTGAAGGGAACAACCTCTGAGATCCCCTCCATCCCTGACAGGACTTGGAGTTGGTCAGGAACTGGATAACCCTCATTTGCTCACTGATGAATCATTAAATTGGGGATATTTTGGGGTTTGAAGGGACTTTTAAAGGGTTGGATTGAAATTCTGCAATTTAAAGGGATTGAATTGGGGAATATTGAATTGGGAGGTATTTTGGGTTGAAAGGGGCCTTTAAAGGGTTGGAAGGGATATTTCAAAGGTTGGAAGGGGCATTTAAAGGGAATAAATTGAGGGATATTAAATTGGGGATATTTTGGGTTTAAAGGGTTGGATGAGACATTTAAAGGGAATAAATTGAGGGATGTTAAATTGGGGATATTTTGGGTTTAAAGGGTTGGATGAGACCTTTAAAGGGATTAAATTGGGGATATTTTGGGTTGGAAGGGCTCTTTACAG